TATTCGTTGGTAAAAGAGTAGCCCAAGAATTGGAGGGTGGGTGGTGATGACTAGCTACCTTCCCTCTAGTCTTACACTGCTAAATTAGGGACGGCTAGCACAGATAGCCCTCGTGTAGCTTTGAACAAAATTCAAAAACAAACATAAAATTTGCAAAAGTTTGTAACATAGTTATACATTTGTAGGCCTATCTAAATATTTTTGAACAATTCTGTAAAGTACTGCCCTTATTTCAAAGATTAAATATTTACTAAGATTGATAATTAGCTTTTATAGTTTATTAGTTTAACTAATATTTATTTTAATCAAAACATGATTTTTATTATTGTATGTTTCATTATTGAAGTGGACAGTGAAGTTTAAGTATTAACTGTGTCTTTACAAAATAAAAATATCTTCGGGCCAAACCATAGCACTTTCCATGGTTTTGTCCTGATTAATGCACTTACAACGTCATTTTTTTTTTTGCCATGAACTTTATGTCTTAATTTCAAGGATTGAAAAACTAAGTATGATTTATTTTTTCAATCATAAAATGTTATTTTTATTCTAGAGACAAGATAACTATTGAAGTCACAATTTTCCACAACACAGATAAGTATACATTTATTGACACCACTTAAATACTTTCCTCAAACATAAATATATTTATATTATGGAATTTACAAATGAGCTATATCATTATAAAACAAAAAAGGAAAATTTGCCATTCTACAAATTTTAATACTAACCTTTTATACTACAATAAAATCACATAGCAGCATTGTTTTACAAAGAGTTGAGTAAATTATACCAAAATAATTCTGAATATTCAAACCAGTAAGTCATGTGACAATCACAATCTATATAAAGTCACAGTAAAATGGCATGTATCAAAACTACCTTTTGACATTGTTAGATATTTTATAGGTAGTATGATGCCACTAAAAACTGCTTGCTTTAGAGAAGGGTATGTAAAAGCCTTTTCCAGTGCAAAATATTCATACATTTAGATCATACAGATGTGCTGAGATCAAAGATTTTTAATTTCCAAGATGAGGATATCTCTTTTACTTAAAGGCACTGGAAAAGAAAGGAAAATGGATCAACTACTGGCACCAGAACCATCAAGAAAAATCTGCAGAAAGTATTAAACTATCCATGGTAAGCAAAGTGCAGCTTCTTGTAACAGGTGAGAATCCATGAACACAAAGGTCAGTGGCAAAAGCCATTTAGATGCTTTCAGTAATAGTATACAACATAATCAAGAAAGATCAGCACCAGAAAAAGTGACAAAAGTCATGTGTACACAGTTGCTTTAATGACATATCCAGTCACCTTTGCACAATGCAAGAAACTAGAAAAAGAAACCAGTATTCAGGATACTCCATATCAAGACATATTGGTCAAGCCACCAGACCCACTGCCCATGGACTTGTGTATGGTTGGAATGTTGAAACAGGTACTTGGAATCCATTGTCATCATACAATAGATTGATTAGGAAAATTAAAATGGAAGGAGTGATGTTCTTTGAAGTTGAAAATCTTACAACCAAGCCTTTTGCAATAGAAACTATACTGCAGGGTTATTGTTAAGATTCACAATTGTCCAGTAGCACATGACAGGACATGGTGACATGAGCTGTAATGATGTAGTGAGGCTTCATATTTTTTTATATAATGTACTCAATGTGTGTAGTCCTAAGTATAATACTGCATTAACAATCAGTATAAATATTACAGGATAGTTCTCTTAGCAACTAACATGAAATTTTTTGATTTGTAAAGGATAAGTTGGAGATATAACACAATTTTTGTTAGCTGTCTAAAGAAAACTTCTTAAAGTGAGCATCAATAAAAAAATAAGCTGCCAAGAATGATATATGAACAGCAAAACGTTTATCTCATAACTGTGCTTCACAATATTTAATTTAAGTACATCATAACAAATTTTAGTTTAACTGAAGTTCAAATTTTTAAAACAAATTTACAACAGGCTGTGTCCAAAAGATACAATATTTTTGAAGTATGAAGTCAGAAAATAGGGGCAGTTATGAAAAACTTCTCAATACAAGAAATATTGATAGTGAATTCAAAGTTAAAAATAATTCATTTGTTAAAAATGCAAGAGTACTAATGTACTATGCCATGCTAACATTCCATATAACTTTACTTACATCTTCTGTTCGCCCACAAAGGTAGTTTACCAAATCTTCATAATAATCAAAACTCTTCAGTAGTAGCTTCATGTTGCAGAAAAGAAACAAACAGAAATTCTGAAGTATAAATATATATGTACAGACATAAAAGTAAGCTGTTATGAGCAGCTTCAGTAGATTTAATTATTAACAGCCCATTAGTACTATTTGTTTTATTCTGAGTTCTATTTGCATTCATACGTTAATAAGAATTAAAAATGCTACACAGCCATAAAACATTTGGTTTCAGAAATGGTATCTTTATTGATAATTTTATAATGATACTTAACAACAATTATTTTCCAATACTGAAAATGTAATTCTGGTAAGTACTTACTTATCTCATCTCACAAGATTAGTTAGTCTCATTCAGTGCTGCCCTCTATATGTGAACATTTTCTTTATGCATGTCACAAGCCTTGCACTCCCCCCTTGTTGGAATTAGTACATTCTAACGTGTCTCTCATGCAAATCATCATGCATCATCTATTAACCAATAGTAGCACTTCAAAGTTTGGCAAAAGGTGTGAGCACCAAAGAAGTGGGGAGGGAGGGTGGGAAATGTGAGTTGAGGTAAGTACCTATTGGAAATACATTTTCAGTATAGGAAAATTATAACTTCCAACACGGTACTTATCTCCTCTCACAAGATTAGCTAGAATCCCATATGGAGAAGGAGGAGGGAATGGTGCGAGGGGAATAACAGAAGCACCTCTGAAAGTGTCCGAAGGATACCCCTGACCATGAGAGAAAGAGATCCGGAGAGCAGAGAAGAGGAACTGCACCATTTCTGAGCCAGGTACACTGTTCACCCTTGATATAATTCGTAAAACACACTGGGAAAAATTATGAAGTGTAGAGTGGCTAGGGTGAGTCGGACCACACTTGGCAAGTTAACTTCATCCAAAACCTCCTCTGTGGGGTATTGACATCCATGTGAGGATAGAATGAGGATCATACAGTCTTCACCTGTAACCCAAGAATTGGGGATTAAGATCTGCTCCAATTGCTGGATAGTACACAAGGATCAACACCCTACAGCAACCTGGGACTGGCCATCCGACAGGATGGATTCAACTTGTACGAGGACTTATGTTGATTAGTTCACTTGAATACAACACCTCAATGCTGGGATCCAATATCCATGAAAAGGTAGGAGGAGGGCTCCCAATCAAAAGGGGTGAACTGCACGTGCCCATACCAGCTTAGTGAATCTCCTCCAACGGATGACAAAGATGGGAAATGAGGGAAAATGTGAGATGACAAATTTGATGGGAGAGCACATGGAACAAGGTACGGGAGGAAGAAAGTAAAGAGATGTAGGCCAAATGGACCAGAAGGCAGATCCAATTTCTAAGTGTAGAAGGGGAAAGATCACAAAGGAAGAAGGATTGTCATGGAATGAAAAGATGGTTGTGCATACCCTAGAGGGTAGCTGTACGTGCAATATTACACCCGACTGGTCTAACAGGACATAGCAGTTTATTGGGGTCTGGATGAGGGTAAAGATGGGAGATAGAAGGTAGGGGAAATAGGAGAAAAAACATTCTTGAGCTGCCGTAGTCTTGGGAGGAAGGAACAATCAGGATAAAGAAGAATATAAGTAGAATGATAAAGGGTAAGTGAAATGTCAATGGCAAATAAATCAGATCGGCAACATCTGCAGGCCAAAAGGAGAAAAACATTGGTCTTAACCCTATTGCCCCGGGTATTCTTCAATGTGCATGACACAAGATTTTAGTGTCTTACATTCAAAATGTTATTAAACTACTTTTTGTTTGTGTTATACCTATTAGAATGGCATAAGATCTTAGCTAATAATTCATATTTTAATAGTATACAAGTTTTAAGTTTTTAATTCTACAAGAAAATATATAAAAAAATACTGAATCTCCACTAGTGCGACACACGTGACACATTTTGTCTTAGCACGTCATCATCCCTATTTTATCCATCACCCCTTGAAAATGAAGGTTTCAGGGATTACACAAAGGAAATTTGAGATTTTTCAGATGACAAAAGTATTTTTAATTTTTACGTGTAAATTACTTTGCACATGGGCTATTCAAAACAAATACTCAATATATTCATGGACAAAAAAACTTTATTTTATTTTATTAAAAATACTTCACTAAGATATATGACTTTTTGTATGTAAAAGACTTGTAATATTAACTGAAAGACTGTCAAATTTCGTGAAGATATACCCAATAAATAGATAGTTAAAAGTATTAAATTTATATCAACTTGAAACAAGTACAAAAGGTCATGTGACTCGGTCAAATTGACCGACCCCATCTTGGGAGAGTTAAAGGACAAATGAAACAAGGAACATGAGGAAAATAGTTCATACAGAGGGAGAGTCAGACATTGGAGGACCACATTAATGTCCAGTCCAGAAGGGTAGGACACCTGGGAGGCCTCTGAATCTCAAAGGAACGCATGAGCATAGTGAGAACAGGGGAAGTAAAAACCCAAAGGTATCTGAAGAAATGGAAGGTATGGGAAAAGGCTGCCCTATATCCAGAAATTGAATAGACCGAAGGTCCACAGACAAAGAACCTGGTCAGAAATTCTGACATCTGAGTCACCGAAGAGTTGGCAGCAGGAAATCCCCTGCCAGCAGAACAACAGTGAAAGACCTTCCATTTGTGTTGGTAAACTTCCATGGAAAATGGACAAATTGAAGTAGCTAACAGGGTGTCAACCCAACGCGTGAAGCAGGATCTCATCGCCAAGGACCAGACAAAAGCCAGGTGTGAAGATGCAGGACGGAGAGATTGGAATGAAGAGCAAGTGACTAAGGTTGATGCAGAAGGGAGGGAAACAGTGGAAGAGGGACAGATGGTGAGAGGAGCAGACATTGGAGCAGGGTTGTGCTGGCATATGGGGTGCAATCAGGAGGACCCAACAAAGAGTGGAGTGTACCAGAGAACTCTCCTGATGAAGCAAACAGATGAGAGGGTACACATAAAGATATTTTTGAGACCAATCCTGGCTGAAAGCATCAACAGCCAGAGCCTGTGGATGTGTGACATGTATCCAAAATGAGAGGCAATTTCATATTGAGGCCCAGGGCAAATTCATCCAATTGGGTAGAACCCGATAAGAAGCAAAGGTCTCTGAAAACGATCGGATCTAATAACCACTCCATGGTATAGTCAGTCAAGATGTGAAAGACAATCTGCAACCAGATTGAAAGCATTCCACAAATGACATTTGAGAAGGTGAATGTGATGTGCCTGAGCCCAGTATAGAAGATCCAAGGCCTGTAAACACAGATCAATGGACCGAGTGCCCCTTGGTGGTTGAAATGAGCCACAACCATAGAGTTGTCAGAATGAACCATCACCAGACAGTGAAGAGCATAAGAAAAGAAGTGAGATAATGCCTGGCACACCTGCTAAGGGAAATGGTGGTGAAAAAAGGATCCCGTGCAAAGTTCCATCATTCGTGAAGTGTTTGCTGCACAGATCTCATATGGGCAAGACAGGGGGGCACCAATGCGGTCATGGAAGACCACATCCCCAAAGGTGATAGAACCTCTCGAGCAGTAAATGACTGAGCTGAGAGGGCATGGGAAACTGAAAATCCCACAGAATTGAGGCATAAAGGTGAAGGGAGTGCTTGAATGATGTAGGTGTCGAAGAAGACCCCTAAACGTACTAATTATTGGGTGGGTCAAAGGATTGACTTCTCCAATTTTATCAAGCAGCCCACTCAAGCTGCCACAGAAAGGAGTTGGTGAATGTGATTGGTCGACTCCTGCTTGGAATGAGCTAGAAGTAGCGAGTCATCTATGTAATGATGAAACCACAACCCCAAATATCATATGATGAGCAAAGGCCCGAACAAAACAAAACAAATGTGGAGACAAGGAAAGTCCAAAGTTTAGAACCGGAAATTGTTAAACCACCCCAAGATGAACAAACCGAAGATAAAGATGGGATGGAAGGGCTATCAGGATATGGAGAAAGGCATTGGAAACATCCATTTTTGTCATTAATAATCCCAGGAAAAATGCACATTTCAGGGTGAGAAAAGATGCCATAGTGAACCTGAGGAGTGCAATGAAGTAGTTTAGGCATGACAAATTGATGACCAGTCACCAAATTCTGGTTTTCTTGGAGACTACGAAAAGATGGGAGTAAAACTCCTCCAAGGGATGGTGAACCAGCTCGATAGCCCAATGCAAAAGGAAATCCTGAACTGCCTCTGACAGATGCTGGTGAGTCATGGGATATTGAGGAGGAGGAAAGGAAATGGGGGAAGGGGAAATGAGAGGTGGGGAAAGAAACATGAGAATGTGTCCCTCTGAAAAAATCTTTGTCACCCATTGATCATCAACAAAGGAGAGACAGCAAGGAAGAAAATTCAATAAATGAGCTCCCACAGGCCCCAAATGAAATGGGTAGTCACCGGTACTGTTGATGAAGGACGATACATTGGCGATGACCTCAACAAAAAGAAGTACCCAGATTTGAAGGAATGGGTAAATGATGTGAGGATGACAGATTGGAAACAGGAATAGGTGGTATAGAAGGCTCTGGTCGAGACAAACAGGCCACAAAAGTTGGAAGGGTGGACTGATGTGGGGCGAATGTTACTCATGCCTAGATATCGTCAGGGACGGTGTCAAAGACATAAACGTTGAAGAAAAGGAACAAGACATAAATCCCTGAGATAAGTGGAGGGTAAATTAACATGAGCCAGAATGGAGTCCCTACTGATAAGGTCCCAACAACAAAGAAACCACTTATGTAACAACAGAGCCGAGGAAGAAATTTGGGCCAAAGTGGAAGAGAGAAAGTGAAGGGTATCGGCAGAAAATCCATTGGGATTTCTGTGGAGAGCCTCTGAGAGGATATGTATAGAAGACAGATACCAGAGAAGGGTAGTAAGGGTAAGACGGAGGTGAGAATATTGGGCATGTGTGAGACACATTAGATTTGGGAGCTGCCCCCCAAAGAGGTAATAGGGAAACCAACAGCTGGTGATCCAAAAACGTATATTACACCAGATGATAAGCAAGAGTGTACATAATCATTAGAAATATTCTTTCTTCTTTAAAACCAATGAGCTTCAAAATACAAAACACTGAAAAATGTCTTTACCAGCCTTTTAATGAATATAAATCCCTCTTTCTCTTTCTACATAATCTATATAGCAAAAATTTACAGGTACAGTGCAAAACACGCATAATAACTCTTTAAAGAATCTTGTGATGTTCTTCTACATTATCAGAAATAACATCGTAATTCTTTTAAAATATCTAGCTATTACAGTTACGGTCACAACATGAAAAACCTAATTCAGACATTGAGGAATGAGCAAGAAGTATAGAGTAAAAGTTAGTTAAGTGATCTTCAGTGGCATTATGGTTTTGTTATGGTAACTTACTCTGACAACATGGAATTGTTTTAGCTGAATTAGAACGTGTATGTTTGACATTGTCATGTGTACAAAAACACACAATAAGAGCATGAAAGAGAAGTGTGTCAAACAAAAAAATTTTAAAAGAAAATAAAGAATTTGCACAAATATTTAAAAGAAAATTACTTCTAAGTAACCTAGAACTGCATGTAAGATGAAGCACAATATTTATAGGATAAAGAATGTAAACAAAGTATTATAAAAGTATGGCTTATTAGAAAACAAATAATAAACTTAAAACAATAACATATCTCATATGAAAGTACAAAATAAATGACTTGATATGCTTAGTATATGAAAGAAAATTAACCATTTGTTAACAGATCAAGAATTACTCAAATGTGGAATATAAAAATCAAGGTAATCCAATTGGTATAAAAATACTCAGAGTGGCTGTTATAATATTATTTCATTCTGTAATAAAAACAAGTTGGTCTTGAAATATTTATTTTATAATCTGTGTGCTTCATTGCTTTCAGGTATCAAGTTCAGCTGGATTACAAATGCGCAACTGGTACCAATTACAATATTAAATTTAGCTTTAAAATCAGATTTGTATTAATGAAGAAAACTTAATGCAGGGACATCAAGTTAGTAAAAAATTATTCTTTGCACATCTGATATGATCTTACTTTTATTTCGAAAAAATTAGAATTTGGCAAACAAATTTTTGTTATCTGAAGAAATCATGTCATGAAAGAAACATTTTTGCACATGTGAAAAATACATGATAAATTGTTCTATTTTCTATGCTATAGTCAGGTACTAGTTTACTGATTTAATTCCTTTTGTGAAACTAAACATACTACAATAAAGTGTAATGTTAACCAAACACAATTATATTAGACAATACCTTCTCTATAATTCCATCGGTTTTCAGTTTTCCACAAGTATCTAAAACTGTTCTCCCTGACAATCTTGAGGAAATCAACCATTAGAATAATAAATATGAAATATTACAAAATAATGTTTTTCAATCATACTTAAAAAATTCAAAATAATAATGTAAAAACATAACCTTAATATTTCCTAAATTAAGTCTTACTTTGGTAAAAGTAGCATGATTTTACTTAGCAATTAGTCAATAATCAGATCTCAGCTAATCACAAATTTTAATTTTTTAACTTTAAAAGTATGAAAATTAAATGAAATTATTATAAACTTTTCATAGTATAAGTAACAGGGATAGGTAATTTGTTTGGTGATGATAATTTTTAAGGTGTGACATGAAAAAAACATTTAAGTAAATTTCATAAACTCTCAATCATATTACATGTTTATAGCTGGTACTAGCATTTATCCTCAAGCAAATTTATTGCTGTGGTGATGACATGCCTTAAAATATGAAGGATGACATTCAGAAAACTTTTCACCTGATGTAATCTACAAGACATGATAATTTTTAGGTGAACAAACAAATATATTTTGAATGACACTTTGTGAAGCTACACAATATAATCACAGTTACTTTATTAAAATGTATAAAAATGTTATCCAGCATTATCACTACTTTTAAAAAAAATTACAAGGTGGAAGATGAGCCTGAAAACAAAAATAATTGTACTGTTTCAGTTTACATAATTTCTTTTAACTAAAAAATAAAATCCAACAGAAAAACAAAGTAAAAAACAAGGCAATATGTTTTCAAGTATGAGTATAATACCACCTTGCTTGACTGCAAAGTGCATTTGGACTTGAAAATATTAAATTCACATTTGTGCTACAACTAAAAAGTGTGGAAAAGTACACGTGTAAAGAGTAAACTTGGTGGACAACATATGGTATTTCTATTTTGTAGGCACAGAGTGAAATAAGACTATTCCTATCAGCTACTTGTACATTCAGTGATATTACCAAAATGTTTAAATAACACACATTTTTATTAAAAACAGATACAATACAAAGCATTAACTCACCTCATGCAACAAAATCATAATCACAACTAGTTTAGAAACATATTAGCTTATGTCAGCTTATCATGCTATATGTTCAAAAACAAAAGATTAAGAAACCACAAGTACTAGATTTTGCCGCAAAGTTAAGATGCCACAAACACTTCTTCAAAGTCAAATAGTATACAAATGAGAGTACAAGCATGATTAACACTAAAAACATTCATAACATTTTCTTAAATCAAAAATGTTTTTACAATAATACTTATCTCCTTTCATGCTTCAGCTATTACTTGACTGCCAGGCTTTCTTCCTTTGCCCATCTAAGCATTGATCTGATATTTTTTCGCTTGCTCCTGTCTTTTATACCCCCATTTAATTGCCCTTCACGATATTTGTCTTGTGACACTTTCCACCTACATCAATGCACCCTCTATCCTGGTACTGTATATAAGCACCTCATTCAGATGTTATCACTTTTTCGAGACTGACTCAATCCGCAGTCTCTAACACCAGCTCTTAGTGGGCAGGAGAGTGTGACAGTGGGTAAATATTATAGGAAATACATTTTCAATTTAAGAAAATGTTAACTCTCAAAACATACTGACCTCTCACACTACAGCTAGAATCCCACATTGAGAAGGTAGAGAAGCCAGTGAGAGCATTATCCATACAGAAAGTGTCTGCACAGATCATGGGCATGTCAATAGAAGATTGGCACCCTTGTACAACTAGCTCACAAGTTTATGTTTTTAGATGATCACAGTAACAGTTTTGTTACCTACTTTGAGTTTGTATCTTTAGTATAGCAGTGTATACTTTACTTTCTGACCTCATGTTAAATGTATGAAGCTGACTGTACTAAAAGTTTTGATATGTACTTGAAAAACATAATGTTTTATGATTTACAAGTAATAAGTAACTTAACACTTTTTAACTGTTATTGTAGCTTAAAATATGTATGACAGTTAATTACAAGCATGTAAGCCAAAAATAATGTCTTTGGTGTACTATATGAGGACTAAGATAGTGTACACTACAGAAAGTCTAGAAAATATGTAGGATTATATTAAAAACCGGCAATATAACTATATAAAGGTTTAAATGAAAGATAACTCCTAATTTTATGTCTATGATACTTTTTTGAGATACTAAGCAACTATTCATACAATTTTGTAATAATGCTGGATTTGCAACATTTTAATAACCACATGACTAGTTTATAGTAAAAGAAAATAATAATGTTATGACCAACAACTGCTCTCCTATGTACCCAACTTATGGATTCTAAGTCAGATGTAAAAAGAGCCATAATTTGCAATACTGGTTCAAACCTCATTGTGACTACTAAATAAATATTACATTCTTTTCACAGAAAATAACTAGATAATACTTCAATCAATTGATACATGATTTAGATAGGGGTACAAACAATAACTTCTACATTTATCATTTAAATATACAACCAATAAGCAACATACTTGTACATGTGCTTTTAAAAACCTGGTACAAGTCAGCTAAGTGTAGTTCATGGTCAGAGACTTGTAAATTTCAGAACCTTATACTCACACAGCAACAACAGCTCTTTTTTTTTCTCCAGCTTTCCATAATATTGAAGCTATGGCCAAGGCTAATGCACGATTCCTCTCACGTCTGCTTGGTCGTAATCTGAATGACAAAAATGAAACAGGATCAGCAACTGCTTGATTTTAAAACATTATATCAAGTGAGACTAAATATAATAACAAAACTTAAAATAGTTCATATCATGTCACTTTTCACTGATTTAATATAAGTGTCCAGTAAGAACAGTGCATTTGTCACAGCTGAAACTAATTACAGCTTCTTCAGGGTTAATACATACAAACTGTATGAAGAAGCTTTTGTTTCTATATAGTTGGAAATTGTAACAAGCTACTTTTGGTGTTAGAAAATTCTGAAGTAAAGAAATTAAAACTCAGATGCATTAGTTGACAGAAAAATGATGATTGATATTTTTTCTAATATTTTGAACTTAGTTCTAAATACCTACAGGGATAAGAGTATGACAGCAGAGCTAAAATGTTGGGAAGATTTCTAGGTGTGCAATATTCACAGACAAATTTTCAGTAAATATATTTAATTAAAAAATTGATTTTTTGTGTACAAAAGACTTGTAATATTTACTCAAGGTCTGTCAAATTTTGTGAACATACACAAAACATTTTAAAAGTTATAACATGAAACTCTGATGGTCATGTGGAGTTAAAAGTTTGATCACATCATCTGAGCCCATAGTGAGAGGGATCAAACTAAAGAAAAAAAATTTTTTGACGTATACAACCATATTAGATCTGTGAGATCACACAGTAATATTCTGTACATTCTTAAATTACATAAAGCAGGTGTTCCAATCAGGACTTTTGAATCAAAAATAGGAACACACAGTAAAAATTAACTAGTTTCTTAAGTAAGTTGTTACTTCCATTTAACAAGAATGACCTTATTGTGAGATTCCTTTGATTTCCCTGATTTCATCAAACAAATGAAACTTGATCGATCTGCATGCATAACCAGTTTTGAGATAGTCTTTAAACACCAATACATATACCACTTGATGAAGTAATCAAACCAAGTAGTGATTTATTATTTCTTGATAACAGTAAAGTTAATGGCTTAACTAAAAACCTATTCATGAAACTGTTTGAAATTGCTACCAAAGAATCATACTTTGTGTTTAACTGGACATATGGTCAAACTGACAAAGTGACCATGGGCTCATCACTTTCTCCCATCTTAGGTAATTAATTTTTATTTCATTATGAAACTAATTGGTTGCATCCCTGTCTGTCTGAATTTTAAGCCTTTAGTTTGTAAGAGATGCATTGATGATATTTTTATTGTATTCAGAGAACACAATCATCTTATAAAATTCCAAAACTACTTAAATTCTAAACACAGAAAACCTGAATTTACAGCTGAAGAACAAAGAGAATTGAAATTGCCTTTTTAAGACCTAGAGGTCATCAACCTGAACAACGGATTTGAAACTAAATATTACTGCAAACCAATGTTTTCTGGTCTGTATCATCATTATAGTACATTTATACATGATTTTTTACTAAATGAATTAAACAAGCATTTTAATTCATATAGCTTATAAACTTACTAACTCTTATTGTATATTTCATGTTGAAATAATCAATATAAAAAATAATTTATTAAAAATGTCTTCCATTTAGCATTCACCAACAAAAGTACTTTTTGAATAGCTTAATAAAATTTACATTCCCAAAATTTCATACATCAACGTTCCCAAATGTCCTATCACCTTGACCTTACATTTCACTGGTTTTCATAGTAAACTAAAAGGAAAAGTCAGGAACATTTTAGAATAATTTCATCCCCCAAATCAGCTTGTACAAACAGTACAAACAATGTAATTTTTCCCTTTTTCAAAAACAAAATATCTTTTTTTAAAATGTTGCTTATAATGTATCACTACGCATGTTGATGCTGTAGGCATGGCTATCCTGGGTGAATGATACAAATCCTAGCTAGCAGGAAACGAGGAGCATGTGCAAAACAGCCATTCCATCTCAACTCTGGAATTTACAACCATCTGAACAAAGACTGTAGCAAAAAACCAAACATCAAACACTTTACAATAACAGATACAGTGAAAGATCAACACATGTTAAGGAAAAAAAAAGCCTGTTAATTAAAATAAATGAAAACAAAGCTAAACAACCAGCCAAGAAAACCAATGCATCTCAAATTATGATCAACTTATCATGCTTTAGATGGGCACAAAATGTAAATTTTGAAACCTTTGTTAAACGTTCATTCTGATTTAACTCTCTTTCTATGGGTTCAGTCAATTTGTCAGAGTTCATGACCCCGATTCAGCGATTCAATACTATAACTTTTGACTCTTCCACCAGGTACCACTTTAAACACTTTTCTGCGCAAGTCATCAAGTTAGATTCAATATTTAATTAAACACCTTTACTATCTAAGTATATGAATGAAATTAACATTATAATGTATGTTATGATTTGAAGTTTTATGTTATACAAATTTTAATTCCTATATTTCAAAAGAAACCTTTAAAAAAATACTAAAACTTCAGGTTTTGTTATCACGTGGTTCACAAACTAAGAAAAATCTCAAATTTCGCACTCTCAATCTTATTTAACTCTTTCACTAAGAACTCAGTCCAAGGGACAAGGGACTGATCTAGTAACCATTTTGTTCTTGTTATAGTTTAATACAGTAAGTGTATCTTCATGAAATTTTGCAGATTATCAGTAAACATTACAAGGACCTTGCACACAAAATATCAATTTATTTTCTTAAGTTTTAAGATTTTTAAGTAATGTTTTTTCATGCATTTTTTTCTTTTCGAATGTTGACTATCCAACATGCAAAGTAATTTTGATTTTAAGATTAAAAATACTTTTATGTATTGAAAAATTTTCAAATTTAACGTGCAAAATCTTTACAACCTTCTGATAATTATCAAATGTATTTTTTCAGAAAAAACTTTATATTTTATCTGTTATTTTCACTATTGTATCTCTGTACAGGTTTGTTCAATTTGACCAACCTCACAACCACCCTAGAAAATTGGGAAATATATATAAATTACGCTTTTTTTTTTCATTCTAGAATAATTAAAATTATAACATAAAACACAACTGTTTGTTCTAAATAGCTTAAATCTCATAACCTTATACATCTATATATATATATATTATTATTTTATTTTATTGACCTTTTAACTGTACCTGACTAGCATTACAGAAGTTGCAATGATGTGGTGCACATGTACTCATATTACTGTATCTAAGGGTAAATAAAACTTGCCTGTACAAAGTGACCTGTCTTGGCTGTGCTCTAGTGTGCCAGTATTTTCTAAAATACAGTCACATTTCGGTTATAATACATTATATATATATATATATGTATATACATTATTACTATTAATAAATAAGTTCTTAAATTTCAGTTGTTTTTCTTAAAACATAGAACAGTAAATAAAGAAGTATAATAAACAATTATCTCTTCTAGTTACGAACTTTGTACTCATTTGCTGTTTGACGCAAGTTGCTAAGCCTTATCAAATTTCGCAGGTGGAGGATGTAAAACAAATTAATTTTTTTAGGTTTTATATATGTCTTTCGAAATAACAAAAAATAATAAGTTACTATATCAATACCACAGAATACAACTATAATTTATCAAGTTTGTAACTAAGCTGTATTTGGGTCTATAAAAGCATGAAAAGAAAGAGTTTCCCACACAAATACTTTGCAAAAGCTGAGAAAACCACTAGAGGGACATTCTGAGCTTTCAATTGGTTATACACACGTCATTGGTCATAGTAGGTGTACGTAAACAAGTATTTTCAAAAAGTGGAAGAGGTGGGTGGGGCCACCTTGGTTGATTTAATAAAGGTTTGTTTGTTTTTTGAAT